GTAAGGGACAGAGAGGGAAAGAGAGAAAGAAACTGGACACCAAAGGAGTGTAAAACACAAATCATCCTTTTTACAATGTACAAGATTTAATTGGAGCATATAGGGATGTACACTAGGGAGCTAAAATCACAAAGAGATGCAAGAGGATGTCTATCAGAAAAATATAAAGCAGTGACAAATTTTAAAGAACAAAATGGTGCTGTGACTGGGGTGAAGAATGCAGAGGGTCCCTGTGTGTTACTGCCAAGGTTTCTCCTGCTCCGGATAGATTCAAAGGTGTTTTCTTTGTAATTATTCACTGAGCTATACTTTTTTAATAATATTTTCTGTTGCTGTGTTTCATTTTGCAACCAAATATATACATGGAGATATTTATACATACTGTGTGTGCACATTCATGTCTCCATATATGTGTATATCTTTATGTATTACATAACTATCATCTTTCTGTCTGTCTGTCTACAGTACTTTAAAAGGCAAGTCTCCCAAGAAAAATATCTCCTCTTAATAGGGAAAAAATTTACAGCTGATTAAAAGAAAATTTTATGTGCTGAAGTAGAAAGGTAGAGCCTAACCTCTACACCAATAAAGTGAGAATTAAAACCAAGGCAGTCTAGAAGCTGAGGCCAAGACCCTCCACAACAATCTGTGAGCAATACAAGCCATCCCTTGTCTATGCTGTCCACCCTAATGTGTACTCCACTGGGGTCTGGTGCTCCCTTTGTCCCCAGCAATTAGCACAGTTTACACTTGAGCAATCATCATTTTGACCCGCCCTAAGTCTCGGCATCCGGACTCCATCACTCACCATCTGTGCACTTTCCGGGAGGATCTCCCAGCATCTCTCCAGCAAGCACTGGAAGTGAGTCTTGGCCACAGGCCTAACCTGTGACAGGTGGCCAAAGGACAGTCATCTGTCATTCATGGTCTCATGGATCAAAACCAGCTACAGATTTATGGGTTATCTGAGTGCTGTATTTTGCAAAGACAGAAAATAAGCAGGAGAAAAGGAAGAGAAAGAGAGAGAGATCTAAGGATGTGGAAAAGATGCCAACAGGATAAATGGAAGAGAGAAAATGTAAGAAAAAAGAAGGGAGCAAAGAAAAAGAAGATAAAAAAAGTAGGAAAGAAAAGAATGGGAAGGGCAGCAGTGGATATATAGGAGCACACATGGTTGGAGGAAACACTCTTTCTGAAAGGGTTTGCCATTACCCATTAAGCTGTACCCCAGCTATAGCTTAAATAGTTATAGCACTAAATAAAATGCACACGATCTTCAAGGGGGTTTGTTTCTCATTTGTATCTAAATATTTATTTGTGGAAGGGGTTTCTATAGTAACTTGGAAATAACAGAAATTCCCACCAACTCTGCAAAGACCAGAACATCTTCACACTGTCATTTTGAGGTTCTGGGGAGCCAGCAGTCAGACTGAGCCAATAGTGACATCAACACAGAGAGGCAGTCTCAAAATTAGGCACAGGCAGTGGCTGTTGTGAAAGGCTGCATGGAAAAGAGTTTGGGGTTACTGACCAGTTTGGAGACAAGAAGACCTCAAGTCTCCACAGCTCTGAAGGGTTCTTAACTTTCCCGAAAGATAAATGCATTTTCTCACCAAATCAGATTATCTTGACTGGTTTTTAATCTTTCAGAATCTGCCAAGAATGGTCAGAAGTTCCGCCAAAAGACCTGAGACTTTGTGTCCAAACTTGTTACTGGTAGGAGGACATTAGGGATCAGGCAGCAGTTGAGAAGACACAGGTTTGTGACTCATAATGAAGTGCCAGTAGCTGGGGATTTAGCTCAGCGGCATAGCACCTGCCTGGCAAGTGTGAAGTCGTGAGTTCAATTCCCAGTACCGGAAAAAAACAACAAAAACAATCAAAAAACAAAACAAAATCAATGAAGTGCCAATATTAGCAAGTGAATTGGTAATTTTGATAGAAACTGAAGAAGAATCAAGATAATATGTAACACAACATCTCATTCTAATCCTTAGTCTTCAGTGGGAGAGAATATATAGAAACTGATACAAGTCACTTGCACCTGACTCAGGGCCTTTCCTCTTTGATGCTGAGCCAATTTGGAATTTACCATTAAGAATTTGCCCTGCAAGTGCGCATATATGGCAAAGAAGTGGACTAGAATATAACATCAGTAAGAATATACAGTTTTATCTGCTCTACTTACTGTTAGACCTCTATTGCCTAGAACAATACCCTTGATAATGTTCAAATTAATAAATTCCATGTCTTATGTGTTGTATATTTGCTGTTTTGAATCTTTGAAAAATCTCGAATAAAAGAAAATGTCTAGGTAGGCTTTCTTCCTGGGGTATCTTTGCCTTAGTTTCAAGGATTTAGATGTTCTACCTGTTGTATCTGCTTCTGTTCCCTGCGTACTTGCTCAAAACCTCTCTTGACTTCTGCCTGTTGCCTGATCCTGCATCCTGACTGCTGGCTTGGATGATTCTTGATTCTGCATGGATTCCTGGCCTTTGTGCACTACTATGATCTGAAATTGTATGTTCCATCTTCTTCTTCTGCTTTCCTGACTTTTGCCAGAGATAGAGTAGGATTTTAATTTATTTTCATAATAAGCCCAGATAGTGTGAAATTGGGATTTGAAGCTGTTCAACAGTTTTTCTGAGGTCATAGATCTAGTGACAAAAGTAAGACTCACTCTCTGGTCTTGTCCCAGGCGTGTGCTCATAACCACCGTGCTTTCTGCATTTTCCAACCACAAAGCCCAGCGTTAAGTATGGGGAGAATGGGCATATCCTTCAATCTTCCCCGACATTCCTTGTGGCTGACTGCTATGTAGGAACGGGATGCTGAGCCCTGAGCTCTGTAATACTAGTTGGCGTCTATGTAATAGTGGTAAGGAATAGAATGACTTCACGCCATGTTGCAAACATGGTTAACCTTGATCTGAGAAATTTTTTCTCAAATTAACCTAAGCTACAATAAAATTGAATGAGCTTAAAATAAACCACACATAAAATTACTGAAAGTGGAAATATAGTGCAACACTACAAATTCTCATAGTTAATCATATTATAGCTACAAAAGAGTTGCATCTTACTGTCATCCCTTGAGATTTAGTGGTTTGACCAGATATTTTTAAAAATTTCTGACTTTCTATTTACAGCAAGTCCTTAATACAGTGCGGGGACTGTATAAATGTCCCAGCACTTGAATTTTCTGACTTCTTTCCATATCTCATGACTGATGCCATGCAGGAAAATAAAAATGTATGGGGAACATACTATGTGCAGAAACTTCGTCTCAAAGCTTCTCGAAGCTCAGCAGATACTTAACCCACCTACAGATGGAAAGTCTATAAAAGAGGTGTTGGGGTATGGTTGGGGGGGTCAGTCTACAAGATGATAGTTGACCAATTCTTGTGGAATGAGACAGGTGCTATAGGTAGAGAAAATAGTTTGTTGAAAAATAGGAAGGTATGATTAAGGAGTACAACATGGAGTAGTAGGGAGGCCCCCACATGGTCTTCTCTCTGGCACCAACAAATATGCAATTTGAAGTTATCTTTTGGCTTTTATTTTCTTATCTATAAAAAAAGAAGGAGTTTGCATTGAATGTCTCCCCAGGTATTATAGAATTTAAAATCCTCTGGTCGTGATCTGAAATCACACCATTCTAAATTGTCCCATACCCCATCTAGCACATTTTTACTCTCCCTCTAAACATGCCATCAAGGAATACTTCATAGATCACCAACTCGTGACACAGCCACAAAAGTCCCTTGGGATAAAAGCTCGCGGTGTTGTCTCCCTAGAAAGATTTGGCCACTGATCAAAGCCTGACAGTCATGAGCAGGCAGATTAACTCAGTCATTTCTGGGCTTCCTATTCAGTTCCTGGATTAGCACATGGCTTCTTTAGCTCATGACTAGTTCCCTTTTTAGGCTGTCTTAACACATCCAGTGGTTAATCCTGGCCTACTAGCAGCATATGCTTATGGCCAAAGGAAAAACAGAACAGAGTAGGTATAGGGTCTATTTGTTTAGAGCAGAGGGACACGATGATCTCTTGGATTTTCCATGCATTATAAATTCTAGGAGTGCTGTGCTTTCTTAAAGCAAAGTTTTAACCCTTTGCCAGTTTGCAATTTGTTAGCTGAGTTTCTGCTGAGAGGGAAAAACACGTACTGGGCAGGGGCCAGCAGGTGGTCCCTGGCAGCTCAGGCGCACCACGTAGAGCCGCCATAAACCAGAAAATGTTTCTAAAATATGCTTCCTTAGCTTCCAGCCCTGATTAAGGGCTCCTTTATCCCCTACCACTGACTCATTCTTACCCTTCAGTCTACTGATTACACCGGTGAGGCGCAGCTGTGTTCAAGGTGGCACGTAGGTCTCCCAACGCCACTGATCTGAGTCAGCCGCACAGGGGTGCTGCGCGGTGAGGACACGCAGGCTTCACCATGGACACGGCTCCACACTGCAAACAAATAACAGGCAGTGGAGCGAGACGGAGCAGGGCTGAGCTCCAATGCTCAGGGCAAGTCTTCCTTGGCCCTGCGTCTGCCATGGTATAATGGATGAATTATTAATTATGACTTATCTCCAGGACAAAGGGAGTGTGTGGGTGATTCTCTCCAAAGACGAGAGTACAAAAGACTATGCCTGGGGCTCAGGCTCTTATTAGTGGCAGGTGAACATCTGGAACAGAGGAATAAAGATGTGTTTTATGTTTTTCACATCACCTTTCAGACAAGCACTTAATAAGTACTAATTCATTACTTTTCAAAGCATCCTTGTGGGAAGGAAATATTATTTCTACCCCCCACAGACAATTTTGAAGATTGAAAAATTTAGCCATTAGGAAAGAATTTCTAAATGAAATGTTTGCTCTTTCAAGCACTATTTGAGTACAACTTTAAAATTCAAACTATTTCTTTTTCTAAATAAGGGAAAAGTTCATCATTCTAGGAAATGTTTAAGATATAGAAGCATTTGTTTTGATTCAGACTGTCAGAACAAGAATGTTTGGGAACTCTTAGGACCTCAAATAAATATTCCAGTGGAGTCCCATTTATTATTTTCTTATAATTCCAATTTAAAAGACACAATTTCACCATCTCACAGCCCCAAATTATACTGGTATAAGCCCTCAAAATAATTTCTCAGGAACTGTATTCTGCATTTCCTATAATTGAAAATTAAACAGAATTTGAGCTTAGTAGATGTTCAAGTCTTAAATGATTCCTTCCTTTTAAGGGAAGTGAAGATCTCCCTGTCATGTTGGCTGGAGTAGAAGAGAGGAGAACATCAAGGGGAAGTAAAGAGTTGGTACAAGGACCAAGATGAAAAGTCCATGTTTCATTTTATAGCTTTTGTCATTGTCACGATCATCTTCTTCATTACCGTCACTATGAATTCTGTAGTATATGGCACCACAGTTCAGAAGTATCTTCATCAACACTGATCACATTCCATATGAACTCCACAAGACAGGTCCTGTGAAATTCTGCCTCCAAAAAAGACAAAGTAAATATCAGTGGCTTTCTTGGGAACTTGAGTGCACCAATTTGTAACTCTTTCTTTTCCCAGCTTCAGTGCTGAAAAAAACCTATCAGGGAAAACCATATACTTATGGAGTAAGATGTCTGCATGATGTTGATAAAGTTGTTATGGAATATGACTTAGAATGGGGGCAACAATGGTCTTCTTAAACAGAAACTTGCTATTAAGCAATCATTCCCACCTACACCTTGAACCGTCACAGTCTACCCACAAAGGTAGGGGCTGTATTTATGGTTCAGAACAGTTCTGTATACAAAAATATGAAAGTATATCCAAAAGAAAGAGGAGGTCAGTTACACAGGTTCAGTTGCTCATCTCAAGCTCACCCGCTATCCCTGCCTCTGGGAGAACTGATGAGGGTTTGAAGGGAGGCCAAGTGTGTTCTCTTCAGGGAAGTCTCTCTACATGTAGGAAGATACAAGAAGAGAGGACACTTATTCCACTTATTCCCTTTAAACGTATTTCCTCCTCCATCTGAATATTGCACTGCTTTGTTTTGGTAAATATTTTAAGATTCTTTTTTTCACCCTCTCTTGGCTGTTATGTTAGCTGGTGGAGATAGCTGATCTGCCCTGGTCAGTAGAGATTAAGCAGGGGGCTTTACCAATACAGTGATGTCTAGCAGTCTATTCTGGAGTCTTTATAATGCAGCATACCCCTTTCTACTTTCTGCCAGGAAAACTAGGAAAGGAACTTTAGTGTAGCTCATTTTTATACCTAGTTAGATCTCAAAATATGTGTTATTTATTCTATCTCAAAGCAGTCCTCGCCCAGTAGGTGTTCATGGTACAGAAGATAAAAGCCAACTTTTTGCATCTGTCTCTCCAATTCACCATCCCCTAGTACCTGGAGTAATTCAGCCTCACCACTTAAAAACCTCTCTGCTGACAATGTTTCTTTGTCTCAGTCTTGGCATTTGGATGTCTTTTCATCCCGATCCCTTCCTCTCTCAGGAATAGTGATTAACCTTCACATTCCATTTTCCTAAGTACATGGAACAGACACTACTATATTCCCAAAAGGCAGGGGCAAATTGGAATGCCCTTCTAATATTAGTGATATGGATGCAGGAGCCCTACAGTAGGTATTGTAAACTGGACAGTCAGGTGGTGGACGTACTGCAGAGGTAAATGGACTAGAAAGAGCAGGTACCTGGGAAGGTGTCAAAAGGGTAGTGTAGAGACCTGGGAAGACAGGAAGCTAGACTGGGCCACAAGAATAGCCAGATAGACTCTGATGAAGCTGCCTACCGTGCCTCCTCTTTTGAGGTCCCAGTGCCCTCTGCATATGTCACCATTTGTAAGGAATATTAAAAGGCCTGTAGTGCAGCTAAGCCCAGTTTCCAAGCCGTGAAGATTCTTTCTCCTAGTTAAAAAAAATAAATTGTCAATTGTCAAAAAGTCAAGTTTGAGTTTCTCTTCTTTGGCTTTTTTGAGTTAAACCAAAACTCAAAGGTCACATTTTGCTCAGTGTTGGCCCTTTGGTCATGGGGAGCAGCAAAACAGGCATTGCCAAGAGAGGACAGGAAAGGGATGAGCTCCTTCACCTGAGGGAAAATGCAGAGAGGGCGATGACATGCCGGCCACACGAATGCATGATCTGTGGGCTGGTGCCAGTCCAGTAATTATTTGTTGGTGCCTGCAGTGAAATAACCTGTAGATTTTTCTGTAGGGAAAAGCTGGAAACTTTCTGAGCATAAATGGTTAGAGCATTCCCAGCATTTTAACACAGTATGCCCTGACATCATTTTTCCAACTCTATCCTGAGGAATAGCAGCTTCTCATGATATGTTGGGGGGAAAAAGGTTTGGTCCAATAGCTACAAATGCTAGCTTTTACAAAGTTAATTTCTTTAATGTAAATATCTCTCTATAATGTGAATATCTTGAGCATATTGTGTGCATTGTTAATCTCCAAGAGCAAACTATATTGACTTTGATTCAATTTTATGTGGCCTCTAAAACCTTTTTAACATCATGTTAAGTAATGTCCCATGAAATATAAACACTTCTTCATAGGGCAGTCTAACCTTATTAGAACTAAAAACAGTATTTTTCCTTTATACCTGACTTTATCTGCTACTTATAAAAAGTATCTACATAATGAATTCCACTTGTTTGAAATCATCAAAACTGCCATTTTGAATTTAATACATTACATTTCCACTTCCTCTTCTGCTCAGAGAGAATTTGTTTATTAAACCTTTCTAAAAATGAGATACAAGGAAAATGTGTGCTCTGGCTCGAGTGTCCGCAACATCCATTGACCATCTCCAGAGTCACCTGGGAAAGCTGCGCTTAGGCCCTTGATAGGCTTTTCGGTTTTGAAGGACTAGAAAGATCAGCAGCAGTAGTCTACATACTTTACTGAATATCTCATAGTATCTCAAAGTATGTAGTAGTAGTCTACATACTTTACTGAATATCTTGCTACAAGTCCTGGTTAAATTTCCAGAGTTCCTTTAGGCAAAAGTCTGGCTACAAGATGAAAAATGATATCTTTAAAAAACTCTTGAAATGAAAGCTTTTTTGCAATAGTAAAGTGAGATTCTGTTTTTAGTGTAGGCTTTATTTCCATTTTGTATTCTAGAACCTAATTGGTATAAATTTGCATGGCCATCCCTGTGTGCAGTCTCAGTCTTTGTCCTATGTCAACTTTGATAAAGATCTCAGTAGCTCTTCATTCTCCTACTCCCAGATATCCAGTCTCACAATGGTAGCTATTGCCAGATACCTCCCTGAATATTTATCATTCCCTCCATCCTTTTCTTCTCCTTTTTAAACTGAATGTGTAACACTTTTTCAGCTTCCCTTGCAGCCAGTATAGTCATGTGAGTTAGCTCCGTTCAATGACAAGTGCATGCCCCTTCTAGGAATCCTCTCAAAATGTAGCTGTTGTATGCCATGTACTCCTTTCTTATTTACCCATCTGTCCATCATGCCCTTGGAATATCAGTGTGAGAACTCTAATCCAGCAGCCATCTTGAACTCAGAGAACATGGGCCATCTGGATAGATGCCATGGAAAGCTTTAAGGAACGTGCACCTGATGTCCAGAGCTATGATCTCAGTCCTGAAGCTGTGCCCCAACTTTCATTACATAGGAGGAAAACAAATTTCCACTTTGCTCAGTTCACTAGATATTTTGTTGTTTTCTTTTATTTGCACAGGTAAACTAATAACAACTCTTTGCAATGAGTCTTGGCAAAATTTCCAGCTCTGTTCTGTTCCCACTAGTGGCTGCCACTTCTCGTCTGACCTGTGGGCTCTCTGTATGATGTCTTGAGCGGCTGAAAGGGGTACAGGACTATAGCGAGTTATATAAATCTTACTTTTCATACTGAGATTAAACTACTTTCCCTCAAGAAACATTTCTACACTTGCTACAAGTCCTGGTTAAATTTCCAGAGTTCTGGAAAAAATTGATTCTTGCTACTTTTACTAATCTTTGGTTTATTTTAAGAAGTGGTGAATTTTTGGAAAATTTTACTCTTTTAGTTTTGTGATCATTGTTCCTCTAGCTCTAAAAAAAGCACATGAAGCTCAGCTAGTAAGTTCACAGGACAACCAAATGTAAATTGTCTTCAGTTTCTGTGGGGGTTTTAGAGGGATGGGGTCAGCATTGAGGATTAAACCCAAGCTCTCACGCATGCTACATTAGTGTTACACCACTGAGCTGCACCACTAGCCCTCATTTTCACTTTTGAAGTTCTCATCCCAATTTAACTGTCGTCTCATAGTTTGGGTGTATTGGGGGTCAATTATGGGAATAAGGAGGTGGCTTCAGTGAAAGGGATGTGGGGCTTGAAGGGCACAAACTGTGATGATGTAGGTTGGAGGGACAGGATGTTGTACACGGAGGCACATCCAAGAACAGCTGGTCCTGTATGAAGCACTCGCAACCTCCAGCTACTCTCTGTGCATCACCTTCCTTGCTTCCCGAGCACCGCCATCACCAGCATGTGTTCTTAGCCTATGAGCTGGGTCAAAATCAAAGCAGCCATGAGATACCAGAGAAATGTATTGGCTTTATTTGCATTATTGCCCATTTGCTTTGCATTATTTGTATGACATCTGTTAATTAGAGGCTATACTAAGTTGAAACCTAGTCCCTCATTATATTCTATAATACATTTCTCTGCTATTTCCCTGGATGATTCTTTTTCTAGTATCATAGTCTTTGATCCAAATTTCAGTGATGGTGATTAGCAGCCCTGTAACACTCCCTTGAATGCACGTGTATAGTTACCTGCCTAGCAGATTCTCAGAGATAACTAATGAGCAGTGAAAACTGATGCCTAAAGTTACACACCTGGTTTTTGCTATCAAACCTTATGCCTCTCCCTAGCATTCTCCATCTGCATAAGAGGGATCGTAATTCACCCAGTAATTCAGTGAAAGAAAATGTGGAGTAATTTCACAGTTCTCTCTTTCTTTTGTACCTTCAGCAGTTCCTATTAGATTCACCTCCAAAATGTATATTCTTTCAGGCTAAGCAATACAAGGTGGCAGAGGAAGCACTTCAAATCTCAAAATTCAACATCAGGTAAGTTTGTTCAGTGGACTGGGAGATGCTAGACCATCTAGTCCCAAACTGCTGTGATGAAGGAGGAGAGGAAGGAAAAGGGTGCACCACCTCTGGCTGTGACACTTACCAGTTTGACTCATCGGCCAGTCACCTGGCCCTACCACAACTGTAGAAAGATTGGAAGATACAAAGGGAATAAACAAAATATTTAGGACACTCTCCTGACTCAGTGACTTCTTATCACTTTCCTTGCTGTCACCCAAGGCACCATCTTTGCCTGAAATATTACAACTATTGCCCAACTAATCTTTCTGCTCCCAATCATGTCCCCATAGTATCTACTTTTCCATTCTTACACCCTCATATTTTTCACTCTCCAAGCAACAGTTAAGAGTGATTTTGTTAAATATGAAATAGATGGTGGTGCAATCCTGCTTCAAATTCTCGAAAGCAAAACTATCTCGTGACCTCCAGGGCTCTAGGAGCCCTAAACTCAGCACGATTCTCTCACCTGCTCTTCTACGGCTACTTCCTGCCTCACTGCAGCAACTACCCTGGCCTTCTCGCTCTTCCTGAGCACCTGACTTCAATCCTGCTTAAGGCCTTCACACATGTGTGCTTTCTGCCTAGAATGTCCTTTACTCAAATGATTATATGGATTTCTCTTTCATTTATGCCTTTCCCTTTTATTTATGCCTCATCCTCTTGGGGACTTGGACCACACTGTATAAAACATTTGAGTTCTAACCACACCTCATCACCCAACATCTTAGTTATTTGTTATGCTGCTAAGATAAAATACCAGCACCCAAAGTTAAAGGAGGAAAGGTTTATCTCAGTTCAGTTTGCAGAGATTTCAATCCCTAGTCAGCTGGCTTCAAAACAGGGCAGCAGAGGGGCATTGCAGTTTCATAAATGGAGTTGCTAAATTCCTTACATTTCACAAGAGGTGGATTAAGATACTCAGATGCATCTACATCTCATATTACCTTCAAAAGTTCACAACAAGGACTATCAGTATTACCCACAGTACTAGAAGGAGAGATCAAGGTGTCCTTAAGTGTCATCAAATTAGAGTAGTCAACTCTGGGAACCCTTAAAGCCATTAATAAATTTTATCTTTACAATTCTATTTCTCTAGAGCCAGTCCCAGCACCAAAATCTGTATCAGTCAGTGTTTACTAGGGAAACATTTAATCCAAGATGTACAATATATAAGAATTTACACAACTGGTTTACAATGACTACCCAGACAGTCCGGTGTGGGAGAGTGCAAAAGGGTTATCTGAGCACTGGATCTGAAGGATCCAGTAGAAGGCCTGGGGCTCAGTGTAGTGTCTCATGTGAGTCCGCATCAGGAGGCCAAAGGTCTGCAGTGAAAGGCTAAAGAGGCTGCTGGGGCTGAACCATCTGCGCAGGAAGCCAGGAAATGATGCCCAAGGTCAAGGCAAAGACTGGAGCACCTCTGAAGAAACAGAAGCCAGCCTTCCTTCTTTCTTTCCTGTTTAGATCATTCAGGTGACAAGCTGCCCTAGGGGGGGTCTTCTGTGTTCAGTAACAGAGCTATGCTGAACTTCACTCACACAGACTAGACTGATCCAATTTAGTTGGGTGTTTCTTACTGAAATTGACAAAATCTGTTGACTACCACACCTACTAACATTTTACTATGCTATTTCTTTCACAACACTTGTCCCTTTCTAACATTTTTTTTCTTTGTTTAGTTGTTTATTGTCTGTCTCCCTTACTTGAATAAAAGCTCAGTAAGTACAGAGATTTTGACTGCCCTACTTTCTGTTGTTTCCCACTATCAAGAGCAGGGACCAGCATGGTAGGTTTTCAAAAGGCATGCACTGCAAATGTGTACTAGTAAAATAAAATAAAATAGAATAACAAAAGACATGTGATATTTATTGGTTATCTAGTAAAACCATGTCAAATAACAAAGCAAAGATATTCTTAACAGCAAGGAAACTGAGACAGTAGGACACAGCCCTGCTCTGACCTGGCCACACCGCAGGCCACAGTCTTGCTCTCCTCAGTGCAATTGGACAGTGCTGCCTATGATTCTTTAAGGTCTCCTTGAAATCCCCCAAATTGCACTGGTGGGAATGCTTTTCAGGAGACCTCAGTTCTATTCACCTTTATTGCTGATGTCAGCCAATACCAGGCATCGGAAAAGTGGAGAACTAGAAGAAGACCAACACATGCAGTGGAGTTTTGGGGGTGTTTGTTTGCTTTCTGTTTTCTAGAGTAGTAGGTAAGCTTATTTTCTTGAAGATAAACCCACAGACAGATATCCTGTAAGTTACCATCAGTCCCTTTACATACTATCTGTGGTTCTGATCCAAATTTATCTTCCTTATTTATTCATTCTTCTTTGTGAAAGATGTCTAATGTATCTAATGTAATTTAATCCTAGGATATTTAATTCCTAAGTAAATGCTATACTTTTGTAGCAAGACACTTGGGGAACAATTATGATTTGCCATTTTGTTCATGTGTGATTAAGCTCACTAAAAGGAAGTTTTGTGCTGTTTATTTTTTAGTTTTTCTCTTCTATTAGTATATATTTGGTACCAGGAATCAAACACAACCTCATGCTCACTAGGCAGGCACTGTACCACTGAGCTATATCCCTGGGTCTATTAGTATATATTTTGATACATTACATTCATCTTGGGGAATTGGTACATATACACACATAGCTTTTGAGTGGAATGGCATGCAAACAAGGTCTGTTCTAGACATTTGCGAGAGCCTTTACTAATGAAGCTGTGATCTCCCTATCCAAACTGTGTATTTTAGAGACAGAACCCATACTTGGATGGCGAGTTGAGACCAGAAGTTTAATACTCACTGGTTGTAGAATAGTAATGCATGTAGCCACAGTAGAGGGACTTCTACTTTTCTGCTGTGGCTTCCTCCTCAAAATCCACATGAGGTATGGGGAGCAGGCATCCTCCATTGATTGTATGTCATTGTTGTATTTCTGTAGTGGCAGCATCTCATTTGTCATTCCCACCTGGGTTTTCTCACTCTCTCTCTCTCTCTTGTTCCCTACTGGAAAATTACTTGTAGACAGATTTTTAAAATGTATGACACCCAGTTTTCTTTTATGGGGCTCTCTAATAGCAAGAAAAGATGCTATTATAGTCTCTCAGACAATGACTGCTCTGTGAAGGCATCATAACATGGATGCATAAGGCTGTTCACACTGAGTATGCAAAACATAATTTATGTAGAGCACATAAAGGTCTTTACTGGTGTGCTGATGCTCAATCCCAAGTAAGAGTTGGGTTAAGGGAGGGATAGGTTCATTCATTGCATAGTACCCACAGAGTAAACATTCTGAAAAATCCTACTCAAGAAATCCACTTTGTGTTGATTAATCTGATATCTCATAAACTTACTTGGTCACTGGAATAGTTTTAGTTTTTGCTTGACAGACTAGTACTCAGTTCGAAAATGCTGCTTTCATTTCAGCAAAATCTGTGGAGGCATTCGGGCCACAATGTCTAGAGTGCTATTGGCATTCAGAAGGTAGGGGCCAGGAATGATAAACATCACAGAATATAGGGATTAGTCTTTCCAACATTCAAAACAAATCACACCACTTAATGGAGATGGCACTCCTGTCAAGTACAAAATTAGTTGCATTTTAAAAATTATAATCTAGGCCAAATTTCTCATTGTACAGATGGAGAAACAAGCTCAAATAGAGGAAAATACCTGTGTAGGTCCCCACAACTGGGTGCGCCGTCTGAGGTTATACTGAAATCCACTTTCCTCCTTGCTCCAATTTGTGCTCGCCTTTTGGTACCAGATTATCTCTGTTAATGCTTATGTTACTAAACTGGAAAAAAAGGAAAATAAGTTATTTAAGAGTATAAAATAGAACTTCCTTTATACATCTACACTAAATGCTGATAGAAACATTGATGAATGGGTTTTTTCTTTTTTTTTTTTTTTTGAAAAAAAACTAAAGTAGCACAGGAGAAGAAACAGAACTAGCTCCTGCTTTTCAGGGGCCATATGCCAGGCTATTTGCAAATCCTGGCTCTTTTCTGCCCCATCAAAGTTTTGACATTAAGATCATTGACTCTGTTTTGCAGATGAAAAAACCAAGGCTTGGAGTACTTAGGTAACATTCACAAGGTCACAGAGCACATGGAAAGTAATGGAACTGGGATCAACCTGGTTTCTGTCTGGCTTCAAAGCCTGAGTACTTTCCCTAGGTCATCCCACCTCCCAATCACCAGTTCTTGTTCTCAGAAACTGGAAACACATTAAAGAAGGAAAGGAGGACTTATTTTCTTCAACAAATCCATTTCCATCTTAGTTACATTTCTGTGATTAAAAGTAACAAAAATCAGCCCAAGTATGCTTCAGTAAAAATGAGCATTTGTAGAGAAATACTGGCACTCATGGAATTGAAGGAGAAAAAAAGTTGCACAACCCAGCTGAACAAGGGCGGGAGCTGGTGATTGCGTGTGGTCACAGCTTGCACTGCCCATGTCTGTGAATCTGACTCAGCCCGAGCTCCCAGCCCTGGTCTCAGGTCCATTCTTAAGGAAGATGATAGCTCGGATTCATTAGATATTCACCTTGGTCCAGCCAGTTCTGTCTATTGGGTGAGGGTGATGGGCCCCAGCTGATCGGCCTTAAGCCACAACCCACAACCCATCTTAGGCCCCATCATGAGGCAGTTGCATCCTTCATATCCCTCAGCAGCATACATTTCCATGATTTCTTCAAAAAGTTGTCTACAAACTTATAATCCATTTCCTCCCCCTATGCTTTCCTTGTGAGCAAACTCTCCTTACTTATTATAGCACATTCTTCTGATTGATAAGATTTAACACTGTACTCTCCTAAGAGACCTTGCATTTTAATAGAACATAATACACTGTGATGCAGCAGCTATTGATGGAACCCCTTGCACAGTGAGAAGTCCTGGATAAGGAATTGTCCCATCCTTCCTTAAAAGGGTTCAAAGATGAAACTGCCCTGCAGAAGCATATTACTGACCAGCTTAGCTAAATAAAAAGGGCTGTAACTGTGGCAAGGAGAATTAGGGGAAGGAAGTGGCCTTGGAGGAAGGGTTCCATGTCAGGGAACACTCATGGCAAAGGCCTTGTCTCCCACGGGGGCCTGCCAGGATGTCGCATCCATGTCCTGCGAGGAAGTGGAGAAGAGTGGAGCAAATTTCACTCTGATCAGGTCTGTAGCATCTACAATGGAAGCAAGAACCAGTTTTCCAGCACTAGCTGTCTTTGTCTTGTAGCCCACTGTGGCCCTAGGAACATCTCAACGTTTCCCTCTGCGTGGCATCCTGACTACTGCCTGTGTCCTCTGTCATTTTTCTTGATGAACCGCCATGTGGGCTTCTTCAAGGTGTGCAGGGAAGCAGCTGAGCTGGGCTTATTCTACTGAGATAGGATTGTGATCAAGACATGGAGCTTTTCTCATGATCTTCATTTAAGAAAAAGGATTGGTGGATTAATGATCTGAGTTGTTTATATCTCATGAAGTGGTTTATGTTAAAGGCTTCATGACTGATGTTCACATTTCTTTTGAAGTTTAGGTATTTCATAATGATATTCCTCAGCAAACTGCCTGTTTTATTTCATCTCTGTGCCTATAACAGGCAGTGAGGAAGATATGTGGAGTTGGGTTTTCTCACAGGACATTTAAGAATACACCACATGAGCAACTGCCAAATTTGCTCTGTGACAAGGGACCACTGGATACTGGGATAGTACCTGGAGAAGTTGGGGAAGGGTGTATTCTGTGTAGGAGTTAAAGAGCTGGGCAAGGTTAGTTAAGGTGCTGCATGCCACCTTGAAAGTCAATAAAATACAGCTTAGCTGAACACTTTCCTTGACTGCAAGCAAATTTATTTCTGGATTCCCTCCCCACACCATTATATAGCTATAATTATCCTTTAAAAATTCTTTAATTAATTTAATTCCACTGTGGTTAAAACCATGCTTTGTATGATTTCAACCCTCTTACATGGATTGGGATTTTTATGGTGCAAATATTATTGATTTTGGTGAATTTTCAATATACCTGAAATGTGTGTTCTGCTGTTGCTGGGCAGAGTGTTTTATAAATTTTAACTACATCAAGTTGGTTGATAGTGCTGTCTTCAATATACTGAATTTTTTGTGTACTTTCTTTGTTCTATCCATTGCTGATTTTTGTTTCTCCTTTAAGTTCTATTGGCTTTGCATTATGTGTTTTGAAATGCTAATATTAGATATATATATATAAACATGTAGGACTATTGACTTACTGATGAGTTGACCCATTTATCATTATCAAACATTCTTATTTCTCCTTAGTTGTGGTCATTTTTCTGAAGTCTGTTTTTATATTAATATTGCCATTCTAGCTGTCTTATGATTAATATTTGAGGGGCACATATTTTCCATCCTTTTATTTTGTGTCTTTGTAATTAAATACACATGTATTTAGCTGTAGCTCACAAGTACTTAGTATGTAGCTCGGTCATATTTTATTTTCTAATCTATCTGTGTGTTTTGGTTGAAGTGTTTACTCCACTTAAATTTAATGTATTTAATGATCATGCTTAAATTTATTATCTTGTGTTTATTTTCTATTTTCTCTGTGTATTTCTCATCTCCTTTTCCCTCTTTTTTATCATTTGAGACTTTTTATGATTTCATTGACAATATTAACTAACTTTACTACCTGTTTTAAATTTAAAGGGACAGTCAAAGTTCCCAGCCAACATTTTAAACTATTAGAGTCTACCGTCAAACGATGTGCTTCATGTTGTAGTCTAAGCAACTTTTGACAGAACATTTTCTTTGTCCCTCTCCCCCATCAAACTATGCTATTGTAGCCAGAACTTTTATGTCTACACAGGTTATACGCACAACAAGTTACTAATTTTGATTTAAAAGTCAAGTTTTTAAAGAAAAAACCTACAGTGTAAATTTCTCAATGTACAACATTAGCCACCAATTCAGAAAAACCAAAGGCAAAACTCAGGTACTATTTTGAGTAGGTCAAACAATGTGCATCTGTGGCCCCGTGGGTCACAGATATCATGGTGAGTATATTGCTCTGTGGCTAGGGATATTATATTGAGTACATTGCACTTACCCACGTATGAGGCATCAATTGCCATACCTGAGTAACCCCTCACAGCTGCTACACAGGTCCCTTGGGGAGAACCTCCTGGCTTAGTCAGCTTTTTCCATGCTGAAGAGCATTCAGGGGTCCCCAGGCCTATGCTATTACAAGCAGAGCTACACTGACCACGTTTGTCCAAGTGTTTCCACTACAAGTGTAAACACTGAGAAATGAAATATCTGATCAAAGTATAAGACTGCTTTATATGTTCATAGATAAAATCTAGTAACTTTTCAATGTATCTCTGGTTGGTTGTCTCTCCCCTAGTTAAAGGTATCTGCAGGCTGTCCATGGGAGTTTTGAGGCTGGATGTTCAAAATTTCAGGGCTGTCTACCAATAGCAACATTGCAACAATGCATAGAGTACTAAATATTTTGTTTTTTTAAGAACCCTGTAGCCACCATTGCTTAAATGTCTGTTTGCAGAAACAATTGCAGGGTGACCTTCCTAGATGTTCTCTGTGAGGTCCAAGACAGGGAAATGCATAAAATGGTTTCTTCAAGTAGATCTTAAGATTTGTGCTTTACAGGGTAAGACCTCACAAAGTGTACTTCTCCCTAATTGGTGATCACGTCTCTAATTCTGTCATTTTTATAATCTAGTAAATAAGATATTTCTTCTCGGAGTGACTTTAGATATCATGCAATTCACCCCTCTCACTTTCCAAATGAAAAAATAAAACCCAGAATTCTGGAGAGGAGTGACTTGTTCAGGTAGTTTTACTAGAGCATATTTGAAATCCAGATCTCCTCATTCCCAGACCAGGTTATTGATCTGGAAAGAAAGGAGCCCGAATATAGAACCTTTGAGATGGAAATGGTTTTAGGAAGTCTTAGAAATCGTACTTTTCTTAGATTTCCATGATGTATAGAAATCTTCCTGACATAATACTTGATGTTTCTTACAGTTGTAGTTTAAGCATGTTCTTTGAAAAGGCAGTTCCATGTTGAAAAATATGTACCATCACTGAACAACTTTGATATTTAGAAAATCTCTTTAAAGTGCTTAAGTCTACCTTATAATTTTTGCCTCTTGAATATTCCCACTATTTGCAGCATAGATGAATCAGGTTCCAGGTGGCCCTCCGTGCCAGTTCGCTCTCCCCCTTTGGATATTGGATTTGTCAATGTCTCCCGTAGAATGTTGCTTGCAGAAAAGGACAGGCCCTGGGTCGGGCAGTGGTCTGATGGGTGCAGGGTACAGCGGGGCCGTCCTCTGCTTTGATCTGCTCTTTATACTTCTATTAATAGACTCCCAACATGTTTGGCTTTCTTGGCAGCTGCATTCCTGGGCTGATGGTCAATGGGAAACAGCACTTTTTTTTTTATTTTTTTAATTGACATCTATAAAGCTAGACCCCTTCCTCATCTGTTCAAGTAATTGGTAGTAGAAATGTATTTGTTAAAATTTCTATGTTTCAGCTTTTGGCTAACTATTCCTGTCTTTTGTGAATGTTTGAAACCTCACACAGATTTGATAAGTAGCCCTTCTGTCCTTCTGTAGAAATCACTGAAGACACAGCGGGGTATCGTGGGAGTGGGAAACAAAATGATCGTGTCCAAGTTGATTGTAACTGTGAATGCACATCCATGTAGTTCGCAGACACAGCCCTTATTTCTCTGTTGTTTTTTGTTTGTTTAAATATGACTATCACAAAAGACTATTAAATGTCTTTTTTAAAACAAAGA